GGGGGGGGGGGGGGGTTATTAGGCACTCAGTGATTGTTTGACAGTATTAATCAATATCTGATGGGTTTTGTACATTTCGAATTATTAAATTTAGTAAGAATTTGTCTAATTCATTCGCATAGTTTATCCAATTGGCTTTTTGATAGTCAAATTTAGGTTTTACTATTGGTTGATTATTATGTGGGGCGAGATCGAAGACACGTGTTATTGGTAGGTGATCACTGTCTACGTCGTTTTCTACATGAAAGTTTGCAACTTTATTTGCTAGATCTCTTGTACTAATACAGAGATCGAGAATAGCATTTGTATTATGTGAGCAGTAGGTGTGGGTGGGTGGGTGTGTTATCGTTTAAGAGAACACAATCCTTATTATACAGAATGTTTAACAATCTTATGCCGTTTGCAGTCGTTTGACGGCAGCCAAAATGTGCTGTTCAGATCACCTACCAATATTGACTTCTGGTTGTGTTCTAATATTTTATTTAAAAATTTAGTATCCAGAATATTAGTTGGGGAGCAATAACTTCCGGCTATTGTTATTGTTTCATTATCTGTTACGCTTATGTCTATTGTAATATTTTCGTTATTGTTTTGTAATTCTAACTGTGTTATTGAGAGTGTGGATTTATATAATTCCCCTCTTGGGGTCACTTTTATAAATTCTATATTTTCTAATTGTTATGTAATTTTTAAATTTAAGTGAATTTTGTCTGTATAGCATGGTTTCGATTACTACTAGTATATCTGGATTTGAATTTATTATTAAGTCTTCGATCTCGTGCCTCTTGGAAACAAAACCATCTTGGATGTTTATGTGTTGTATGGTGAATGTTTAAGTGAGAAATGTGCCCATTAATTTTTGAATTAATAATGGGATTAGTGGTGTTATGTAAGTTTTTGTAATGTTAATTAGCAGCGTAAAAAGTCTAATTTGTTTTATGGGTTTTGATACTGTACAATGCGGCAGGAAAGTTTGTTTTGGTTTGAATTTCGCGTAAAGCTACACGAGGGTTACCTACGCTAGCCGTCTCTAATTTAGCAGTCAAAGACTAGTTGGAAGGCAGCTAGTCATCACCACCAACTGCCAACTCTTGTGCTACTCTTTTACCAACGAATAGTGGGATTGAATATAACACTATAATACCTCCACGGCTGAAAGGGCGAGCATGTTTGGTGGGACGGGGATTCGAACCCGATGGCAAAAAAGTACGTGTTACAACAACGAACAAGTCAAGCAGGCCTATTACATTCGTAATTCGATATGACTGACAGTTTGGTGTCTTTATCATAAACCGGGACGTTTCTCGGGACATTGAGACGAAATACCAAAAAACGGGGCTGTCCTGACAATACCTGGACATCTGGTCACCTTAGCTAATTACATAATATAAGATTGACAGTTATTTTGATAAGAAGAAGAATCATACATTCTCATCCAGTTTTTTTTTTATATGGTCAAACCTTTCTACGCTCCCTGCCGGATTAAAAACTAACCAATAAGTATTTTCTACAACAGCTAAATTCTGATGACACCAAATAAAGGTTTGTACACTTGAAGTTGCAATCTGATATTTTACGATTTAAACGTTCACTAGCATTTGCATAACTTTAATGAACCAGTGGTGTTTTGTTATTGCTTTCTCACAAACATAATTTTAAACGTAAACACTTAATTTTATGTTTGAACGAACTTGACTAAGAGAAAACAAACATAGTCTGGTTGTTGTTATGGTTTGTTTGTTGGTTGTTGTTTTGTTTTGTTTTTTTTTGGGGGGGGGGTAATCACACACTTACCTGTGTGCAACCAACCATCTTCATCTATGGTTAAACTGGTAGCCTCTGGATTATTGAGATAACCTTTCATTACTTGTGGACCAGAAATCAGAATTTCACCTTTTTCTCCTGGTCCCAAGGTGGCGCCACCACTTATAGAGACTATCTGTTCGTAAACAAAACTCGATGATCAGATCAAATGCTTCTAATTGTTGTTGTTGTTTTCTACTATAATTAATTACAAATATATATATATGAATATTCTAACAAACTAATAACGCGTTGATTTATACGTTTCTAGACAGTTTAATCTAGTTTAGTATTAGGTTACTTGTTAATCTACTTTACCTTTGTATTAATTCATCAGTACGTGAACATTTTTCCGGTTCATATGACTTCATTAGGCAAACATGTTTTTTTTCTTTTTCTATCTTAGTAATGTACCACTAGGTTTGGTGTATGTGAGAAAAGGTGTGCAAACTGGGACAAGCTGAAAGGTATACACAATTTAAATGCACTGGTAGATAGGAAAAAAAGAGAGGTTCAACTTTCATTTATTTCATTTTACCTCCGTGTAGCATATGAACAAGAGGAAATCCTCAATAGCCGCGGCACTTGAAATTCTTTTAGGCGGAAATAGAGCAAGTTAATCAATGAGATCTTTGTTTCCTTTTTTTATTAGCTAAATTTTTGTGCACCAGCAATACCAAGCGTGGAGAATGCGTATACCCTATTCGATTTTATTACTCGTCAGGATCTTTACTAGCCTACCCTCAAATAGAAATTCTTGTATGCAGGATTAGAATAAGTTAATCTATGAGACCTTGGGCCTGGTCAAATACATCAATCGAAAGGGTTTGACCTCCTTAGTCGAAAACTGTAATTAGATCTCAAATCATTTAAGAGATGACGGAGCTATGAAATAAAAAATTTGAAAAAAACAAAAAACAACTCAGAGTCGTTCTATGAGCCGCTATGCCAGGATTAAAAATTCCGAAAGACACAACTAACGTACTTTGACCATTTGATATAAATTTTGAATCTGTTAGTGCACAGTCTGGTTATGGTGTATAGTCCTTTACTCACCATTGTACTTTAGGTGTTTGGGTAACATGTGACATACCAACACAGTTAACTATTCATTATTAATCATTAGACTAGCTAGTTATTTACGTATCTGTGAATTTCCTTTCCTCGCCAAAACGGCTCACAATTTGTCCATTTATTTATTTGCTTCGCTCTTTGAAGCAGCACCAATGAGCCGTGTTTTCGGTGAAACTAACCTATTGCACAATTTGTCCATTTATTTATTGCTTCACTCTTTGAAGCAGCACCAATGAGCCGTGAATTCGGTGAAACTAGTCTATTGCACAATTTGTCCATTTATTTATTTGCTTCACTCTTTGAAGCAGCACCAATGAGCCGTGAATTCGGTGAAACTAGTCTATTGCACAATTTGTCCATTTATTTATTTGCTTCGCTCTTTGAAGCAGCACCAATGAGCCGTGAATTCGGTGAAACTAGCCTATTGCAGCAAGAATAACGAATTAAAAAATTGCTAAGGTCTTTACGTTAACGTTTCTTCATTGAAATTCGTGTTTTGAAGCAGAAAATAAATTCAAAATATATATAAAAATAAATTGATAACTGTTAACGTCATGATTATAAAGAAACAAACAACTTTTCCTCAACACCCTCTCGAAATTATTCGCTATAGTGTACGATATCTTATGATCAGAAGATCGAGTGTCTACACAATATGCAATATATTCCTGAATTTATTTAACAATAAAACAGGAATCACCAACCAAATGGAATTTTAAGAAAACTAATTATTTGAATTAATAAAATAAATGTATATGCGTGGAAAACAAAACAACAAAAGAAAAGTAAGAAACATAGTCTACCTTCATTCTGGTGGCAGGAACTGGAACCCCAACTGATTCATATAGCGTTTGACCAACCAACGGCACACAGGCCACTGGGCTAACTTCGGTCATTCCGTAGCCTAGAAGCAAATAGTAATTCATAGTTTTGATATTCGTGTGGGCTATGTAGAAAAGTTTAGTTAAATTGTTCTAAAATTCTAACATTAAGGTTTCAAGTTTATAAACATTCCTTTCAGCCTTCATAAATAGCAATAAGGCAGAACTGGTGGTAAGTTATTGAAAAAGAACAGATAATAAATACTTAGGCCTGCATTAGGATGGTTTATCTTAGGCCTATATTAGGATTGTTTATACCTTGACCAATCCGTGCAGAAGGAAACTTTGTCTGCAACTTGACAGCAACTTGTGGATGTAAGGCTGCGGCTCCACTGAGGATTGTTGTCACACTCGAAAGATCATATTTATCCACCAGAGGGCTCTCCACCAAGAAATGGGCTATAGGAGGAGCCAGTAAAATAACCGTCACCTGAATGGATAATTAGAAGATAGTTTATCAAATAAAAGAAAGATTTAAATTTTTTCTGCCAATTTATAAAACGAATTAATATTTCCTAAATAGTTATGTTTTCTATAATTATGTACTTTAAAATATTCTTCGAGTTAGTTCTTAAGTTTGTTTATTTTAAAGCAAAGGTACGTTGGACTATCTGCTGTGTCCACCGTGGGGAATCCAATCCTGGATTTTAGCATTGTAAGTTCGTAAACTTACCACTGTGCAAAACTACATTATGGACTATCTGCACTGTGCCCACTACAGGGATCGGTCCCTGAACTTTGGCGCTATTAGCCCTTAAGTTACCGCTGAGCAACCTTGGGACTGTTTTGAAATTGTACTTGATTAAAATATAATAAAGTAAAATAAACAAAACGAAAACCGAGTGGTGAGCAATAGTATTATAAGCACGCTCCCCGCTAAGCGATGGTGTTATTTATTATCGTTGTTAGGGCTTGACATGACCTCGTTATGAGGGTGCTTTACTCGCACTCGGCGGAGAGTCGCGGGATTGAAATCCGTCTCCTAGCATGTTCGCTCTTTCAGACGTGAGGGCAGTATAATGTAACGGTAAATCCATTTTACGTAGATAAGAGAGCCCAAGAGTTGATGTACTGCCTTCTCCTCAGTAAAGTACCTGAAATTTAAGGACGGCTGACGTAAATAGTCCTGGAGTGGCTTTGTGCGAAAATTAAATAAACAAACAAAACTCTCCTTGTTCGCACTTAGTTGTTGGGCTAACCTTGTATTGTTGGATAGCTGTTAAGAAAAGTTCCGGTTTGAATCGTGACATGACAACTACTGGACATCCCCGGATGACGCTACACAAGGAAACTAAAACCAGCCCAAAACAATGAAAGAATGGTAGTACACCAAGTACGACGTCCTCTGTTGTGAGGGGAAAGATGTCAGGATGTCTGTTGATAATAAAGAAGAAAAGAAAATTACTCATATAAGCAAACTATAGTTGAAACTTTCTCTATTCTTGTTTTATCTGTTTTCCATCTATTAATATATATATATATATATATATATGAATACATCAGGTGAATAAGAATTTATCAAAAATAAACCCTCAAAGATTTCTAGGTCCCACTTTTACTAAAGAGTTAGTTGCATAAACTGGTATTCTTAATAACCTGTAGTACCCGTATTTTTTTAATATGTTAGGTGATATTCTGTTCTAAGAAATACTTGACACTTAAAGTTCCAAATTTCTCTCTAATTCATTAGAGCATTTTCATGATTCGAAAGGAAATCCCGTGAAAGATTAATGAGAGAGAACTTTTCACGCCATTCGGTATATGGATTAAAAACCCAATTCAACTACTTGCGTCATTTGATGAATAATGGAGATGATGTTATGATGAGTAAGAATAACTCCTTTTGGTAATCCTGTTGTTCCACTGGAATAGGGCAACACTAGCGGCATCTCTCGGGGTTGAACTGAAACTGGCTTGTGAAAAAACGACCCATCATCTTCAAGAAGATCAGAAAACCTACTACAACACTCTTCGTCGTTCCCTAGAACAAATATTTCCTGAAAATGATAAAAAATACACAGAAAAAATAATAAGAATACGTTAAGGTATAAGCATGAGTAAAAAATATAAGCATCCATGTATGTTGGTTAATTCTCACAAGTTTATACAGAATTTTCTTGTTCTCAGCAGTTAAAGCGACGCGTTGCTCTTTTGTTTTTATGTACCCGTCCTGCATATAACAAAATAATACTTTATTCTTGTTCTACCATACAAGTAAAGTTTCTGTTTTACTCATTGTTTAATATTCTGTCCAGTGTGACACCTATTTGGCCGAGCCATTCTTACCTGAAGGGCTGTTTGTTGTAAAGTACAAAGTTATACAATGGGCTATTTGTGCTGTGCCCCACTACGGGCATCGAAATCCGACTTTTACCACTACAAGCTCACTGACTTACAGCTGAGCCACCAGGATACCACAGAGTAAATACTAGAAATAAATTTAAAAATATGATGTTATAAAAATTGGATTCAATAACAAAATATATCATTGTTTTCACCAATTAGCCTATTAGGGTTACCTAAAAAAATTTTGATGTTGAATGTAAATAAATTAAGTGTACACTTTGACCTCTTGTCAGATTTTACTGAAGATCTCCAATCCTGTGACGTGTATAAGAACCCATTACTTCAACCGATTAACAAGTGTTAAACTCACATTTATTCGTCCAATACTACTGAGGTCTCTAATCTTCTTACTTTGTGTGAGTTTTAATATAGATTTATGTTAATAATTTGTACAAATCTGCCGCGTGAATAACATAACTGAAAATATATTGTTCGTATAAAACAACGTGTCAATAATATTTGTATTATTAGATTTGTGTAACCTGTAAGTAATATTTAAAATTAAAATAAAAAAAGATAAGTTATCAAACTTTAAAACTATTGTTTACATTTTTCTATTTGATGGTAAATCCTGTTGTTTTTCCTTGAGTGTTTAGTATTTGTATTTGGCAGTAAATCCTGTTGTTTTCCTTAAGTGTTTAGTATTTGTATTTGGCAGTAAATCCTGTTGTTTTATCCTGGAGAGTTGAGTATTTGTATTTGGTAGTAAATCCTGTTATTTTATCCTTGAGTGTTGAGTATTTGTATTTGGCAGTAAATCCTGTTGTTTTATCCTTGAGAGTTGAGTATTTGTATTTGGTAGTAAATCCTGTTATTTTATCCTTGAGAGTTGAGTATTTGTATTTGGCAGTAAATCCTGTTGTTTTATCTTTGAGTGTTGAGTATTTGGTAGTAAATCCTGTTGTTTTATCCTTGAGAGTTGAGTATTTGTATTTGGTAGTAAATCCTGTTATTTTATCCTTGAGTGTTGAGTATTTGGTAGTAAATCCTGTTGTTTTATCATTGAGTGTTGAGTATTTGTATTTGGCAGTAAATCCTGTTGTTTTATCCTTGAGTGTTGAGTATTTGTATTTGGTAGTAAATCCTGTTGTTTTATCCTTGAGTGTTGAGTATTTGTATTTGGTAGTAAATCCTGTTGTTTTATCCTTGAGTGTTGAGCATTTGTATTTGGCAGTAAATCCTATTGTTTCGATACAAGTGGTGGGCAGAGCACAAATAGCCCGTTGTGTAGCTTTGTGTTTAAGTACAAACAACCGTTTTAAAGGATCACTATAAGTGCTTAAAAGTTTCGCCTAAAAATTCCAACCTGTCAGAACGTTTTGTTTTCCGTTACTATCTATTTTGATCCCTTTTTTAGTCATTTTTGACAATTTAGATTTATACAGATTTGCATACATCGTTGTTGAAGCTTACTTTTAGGCTCAAAACACTTTGTTTGACTTTCATAGCTTTCTGAATGTTGCTTTCCGCAGCCAGAAGATAGACGGCGCTACTGTCGTTGAGTTGATGTTGAAGTTCTTCTGTAATAATCAAACGTTAATAAACAAAGAAGTAAAATGTTAAATACTTCTAATAGTTTGTTTGGTGATAATTTTGTACAGATGTATATATTCAGATTAATCAAGATGCACTTTTCGTTAACGAAATAATTTTTTTATATAAACTATAAACAGAATTCGTAAATGTATAAATATATAGACTACTATAGGATAGTTAGATGGCAGATCCTTACATACCATGACTAGACGACTGGCATTACTGAACCAACACAAAACTGAACATATTTTTAATGAACAAACACAATATTTAAAATAACTACTAGTTTGAAAGAGGCCTGGCATGGCCTCTTGGTTGGTTAGGGCGCTCGACACGCAATCTGAGGATCGCGGGTTCGAACACCCGTCCCACCAAACATGCTCGTCTTTTCAGCCGCTAGGGTGTTATAATGTGACAGTCAATCCCACTATTCGTTGGTAAAAGAGTGGCCCAAGGGTTGGCGGTGGGTGGTGATGACTAGCTGCCTTCCCTCTAGTCTTACACTGCTAAATTAGGGACGGCTAGCGAAGAGAGCCCTCGTGTAGCTTTGCGCGAGCTTCAAAACAAACCAAACTGACTGCCCTTTACAAGTTGAAATATTTGCTACAGATAATGATTTCCTTGACCCTAAATATAAAGAAGACTTACTTATTTCGAATTTTAAGCCACAAGTCACTTGTAACCCAAGTTCTAGTTAACGGTCATTTTCTTCTTCATTTAACTATTTTTTATGTTTGTTGAACTTACACTCCTTTTACGTCACTATAAAAATATTTTCACTATAATTTTTGACTCCACACCTACAATCGTGTTGTTAAAACAAAACCATCCGTGTGACCTTGTTCTATACTCGCCATTGCTCTATACCCCCCAGTGGCTCAGCAACAAGTATTCTGGCTTACAATGCTAAAGATCCATACCCGTTGTTGGCAGAACGCAGATAGCCCATTGTGTAGCTCCGCGCTTAACAACAATAAAAAACACTGGTCTATGGTACAGTGTATGGTATGTTTCCCGTTTTAAGTAGTAGATAGCTCCGGAAGGTGTAGAAACGAAACGTTGAGCAAAAAATACATACTATTGTTCTTGAGCTCATGCTCGTTTTTTTTCATCATATACAAAATGCCTAAGTCTCTCCAGTCAATACATCGTAGTGGGATCTTGCTTTGCACTGACAGACTAAAAGAACGCAGCTATTCAACACCATCCACCGCTAACTTTTGTTTGATCCAATAGTGGGATTTGACAGTCACTTTTATAGCGTGCCAACAACTTCAAAATGAGGAAAGTATTATTCCGGCAACGGATCGTGAGCCTTAAATCTTCTGATTTATAGTCTGACCACGCTGAACACATTTCTCCGTAACTTTCTCTTAAACTGTTTTCGTGTTCTCGACACCAACGTAGTAAATGTTACTCAAATTTATTTTTCATTCTAACAAAGAAAAAGTTACACATTTCACATTAAACCCGCCCAATAACAGGAAATAAACCTGTATTCACGGAAAGAGATAAGGTGTAATACTGTTTACTAACCATTTTCACAAGGTCTTGTGAAAACAATTTCTCCTTGGAGAGATTGCATCGTTCCGTGGAGGAATTCGTATAGACTTGATAAAAACAAATTATTAACTTAAAGTTTCCCATTCCTTACCCTGATTTCACGACGTATAACACACCTGAAACTACACGAAGCATTTTAGATATATTGAATTGTAACAGGCATTTAATGTCCCTTTAAATAAAACAACTTTTTCTACATACGATACCAACTAATTTACGCTTGTTAGGTATACACGACTGTTTTACTCGAACTTAATACGAGAGCTGTGATTTAAATACTGTAGTTATAAAGCGCGAGTGTCATATTTTGTATTTTAGAAGGGATAATTTATCGCAGGTTTGCTTATGTAGCTGTTTATGAATCATTTGTTTTGTATTTCAATTATTGTGAATTCACTTCATGTTACTCGAACTTTCTGAATTTTTTCGTTGCTATAAGTGAGCATCGTTACGTCACAACGTCTCGTAACTTGTACAAAGTATTAGGCCTCAGTCGGGCAATATATATATATATATATATAGGCGACCAAGTTAGTGCAAGTAAGTTAAGTTAGTGAAAGTGAAAGTAAAAGTGAAGGTAGACTGCATGGTTGTCAATTTAGCTGTAACGTCGATTTCTAAAATGAGTTTCGCAGCTTGTATTGTAATAACAGAGATAGAAGAGAATAACGTGTCATGTCAAAGGGTGTTCTAGAGTAATTGAACCCGCCTGTGTGGACTTTGACGGAAAAAAAGAGACTATTATTTAAAGCTCTGGATACAACTGTGATAACCAAAATTGTAACGAATTTTTGTACACACGTTTGACTTGTATTGAATATATTATCTTAAAACAAGTGGATTTTGTGCTGTCTGTTTGTTGTTGAAATTTATCGCCAACAAGTCACAGACACATACTGTAAAGAATTTAGCTCTCATAAAACAGACAACACTCAAATAACTTATTTTTACAAAATGTTAATGGAAGAACTGTGAAAAGTAATATGATTCATAACAGTTTAAAGTTATATATTGCATATATAATTTTTTTATGTACTTATAGATAAATAAATAACTAGACATGATCCTTTTTACGTACTTCTGGATAAATGGATAACCAAACATGATTATTTGCATCTGCTTATAGATAGATGGATAACCAAACATGATTTTTCTATGCACTTCCAGATAGATGGATAACCAGACATGATCTTTGTATATACTTATAGATAAATGGATCGCTAAACACGATCCTTTGAATGTGCTTATAGATAGATGGACAACCAAACATGAACCTCTGAATGTGCTAATAGCTAGATGGACAACCAGACATAATCCTTTGTACGTCCTTAAAGATAGAAGGACAACTAAAAATGATCCTTTAAATGTACTAATAGATAGATGGACAACCAGACATAATCCTTTGTACGTCCTTAAAGATAGATGAACAACTAAAAATGATCCTTTAAATGTGCTAATAGATAGATGGACAACCAGACATAATCCTTTGTACGTCCTTAAAGATAGATGAACAACTAAAAATGATCCTTTAAATGTGCTAATAGATAGATGGACAACCAGACATAATCCTATGTACGTCCTTAAAGATAGAAGGACAACTAAAAATGATCCTTTAAATGTGCTAATAGATAGATAGACAACCAGACATAATCCTTTGTACGTCCTTAAAGATAGATGGACAACTAAAAATGATCCTTTGAATGTGCTTATAGATAGATGGATAACCAGACATGATCCTTTGTATGTGGTTATAACCAAACATAATTCGCTGTATACCCTTCAGATAATTAGAATATGATAAGAAATGTGTTAAATGGTAGACAATCTGCGTTAACTGATAAATAATTAGAGAAAAAGCCGTTACAAATTTACTGTTTTCCATCAGATGTCACTGAACTGTAGTGGTATCGCATTTTTCTGTTTAAACTCAAATCTGTGTACCTTTTCACATCAAAATAAGTCCAATTTAGACGTAGTCAGCTTCGTGGTTAATTAATGAAATCTGGTTTCCTTTTTTTTCCTCGAATTATTATATAAACAGTGATTCTGACATCATTTAATGAGTTATCACTAACCAACTGCTTAAAAGTTTTTCTACTTCAAGAGACTTACCAGCGGTGTAGCTAGGATTGGCAGTCGTGACAATACCGCCAGCACTTACTATTCCTAGAAAAGCCACAACATAGTCGATGGAATTAGGAATGTATACACAAAAACACTCCCCCATCTGTAAACCTCGCCGTATGAGGGCGCTGGCTACTCGACGACTTAAGTCGGCAATTTGACGAAAGGTGTAAAATCGTCCATCTGATGCGTCAACCTTAATAAAAGACGTTAACATAAATGAATATAATGTAGTTTTTAGATATGTGAAAATCAATACTGTCGCGAAAATTTTGAATGCATTTATATAAAAAGAATCCTTATATAAATTAATAATTATTCATATAACAAACACAGAATACAGATTTGTGTCTACTTGTGAAGATATTACTGGATGAGGACGTGCTACCACAGATTAAAGCGAAGAGTTTTTTGTTTTTTTTCTCGAACATTCAACTTTCCTGTTAAGATAATTTCTATTACGAATAATGTTTTGCTTACTTCACACAGCCCCCAGTGGCACAGCGGTATGTCTGCGGACATACAACGCTAGAAACCGGGTTTCGATACCCGTGGTGTGCATTGTGTAGCTTTGTGCTTAACTACAAACAAGCTTACCTCACATAGGCCCCCAGTGGCATAGCGGTATGTCTGCGGACTTAAAACGTTAGAAACCGGGTTTCGATACCCGTGGTGGGCAGAGTAAAGATAGCCTTTTGTGTAGCTTTGTGCTTAACTACAAACAAACAACAAACCTCACAGAGACGATCTCCATGTTTCTCCAAACACTCAAATGCCAGTTGAGGGAAAGAATTTTCAGGTATTTCCACAGGAGTAAGAGGTGACGTAACAACTCTCTCTTTGATTGTCAATTTATTTACTGTTGATATTGAAGAACTGCAAGATAGATCATTCAACGTCTCTCCAGCTTCCATAGTATCGTCTGTTATAATCTCCTGGAGTGTTCTTTTTGTCATCCACATTTCTGTTGGTGCTTGACTTTGTGTGTTATCATTTGATCCTGTAAACTGAGAACTAGTTGTTTCCTGTAACTCGCACAGCGAATCTCCTTCTGTCCACATGTTGCTCAGTGGTTAGTTTCTTAATTTAACTAAATGTACTAGAGTCCTTGCCTCTTTAATATTCTGCAGCGTAAGTATGGAAATGTTTAGTATTTTCTGTGGTGGCGGAGACGTGTCGTATCTCTATTCAACACTGAAAAAAACTGTCTATATACATTTACATAAGTCCGCGTGTCTGCCGAACCGGTCCAGTTAGATGTCACTAGTGTGTAAATCAACTTCTCAAACTTTTGTTGCAAAGCAAGTTCTCCATCAAAACCATTACCTAATAGCTCTATTTTAAGTTTTACGTTGACATTTTGGTATACTGTTTATTTTAGGTCATTGCTAATAAACATGTCTCTGTAATTAAATGCTCCCCCCCCCCCCACGTGGCACAGCGGTATGTCTGCGGACTTACAACGCTAGAATCTGGGTTTCGATACCCGTGGTGGGCAGAGTACAGATAGCCCATTGTGTAGCTTTGTGCTTAATTACAAACAAACTGTAATCATATATCTCAAAATATATAAGGTATTTGTATCTATAATTTTCGCGCAAAGCTTGACGAAGGATACTTCCGTATAGCCGTCCGTAAGTTTGAGCTAATAGATTAGAAAAAAGGCAGTAAGTCAGCGCATCCACCGCCAACATTTGAGTTACCAGTACGTTTGTCTTACCGCATTAAAACAATTAAGAGTCTTCACCCCTTGTAGCAAGATGGTTTACCTTTTAAGAGCTATCAGATTTGTTTTTCATATTGTGAATTTCTTCGTCTTGGTTCTTTCATACTCTTCCCGAATATTTTTATTTTTTACTTTAATGTAACTACTAAGTTCTCATAATTGCTGCTGATTGGTTGATCACTAGTTTGACTCCGATATATTCTCATACATGATACATACTAAACTGTGATTAAATAGTATATTCTAGTGTGATACATTATCAGACTAAATGCTCAACAGAATCAGATGTTTCATCGTTCGATTAGTTACCCTGTAGTATTTTGTTTAAACATAATAAAAAACAGCGTGTACGTTTAAAGCTATATACATGTTGGAAAACTAATAATTTGAGACTAAGAGTTAGTTTATATAGGTATCATGTTAACTCTAATTATTTTAACAGTTTGTTTATTTGTAGCATAGCACAAAGCTACACAAAGGGATATCTGTGCTCTGCCCACTACGGGTATCGAAACCCGGTTTCTAACGTTGTAAGTCCGCAGACATATGTCTGTGCCACTGGGAGGCTTATTTTAATAGATTAAGTGAATCTTTTACCAAAGTTTCCCTTTTGAAATTCTAATGAAAATAGAAAAAATTTGTAACATTGCTTTTTCAAAATAATCCCACCTCTCACACCAATCATGTTACTTTGTTCTTTCATTAACAATAACATAATAGTTTTTGCAATGTTTTCCCAAGCTGTCTATACTTGTAAAATGTAGGTTCAATTAACTTTACAAATGATACCTCAACGGAAATACCTTGTTAACTGTGCTATACTAACGAAAAAATTAACTTACTTGTACAACTTAACTGCTGATCCATCAAGTAACTGAATATACGTGTTAATTAACACGGATCCAAATACTTTATTAAAAACTGATTTATTCTACATACTAAAAACAGCTCGATCTTTGTTTTTGTAATGCTTCACTGAACATCCTATGTGTAATATACTATTAAAAAACTGACGTTAAAATATTTTGAATTTTCTAAGTCTGCATTACTAAACTTTTAGATCTTAACATCGTGCGCCCTCTAGCTAACATCTAAGTTACAACATTAAAAAATATAGTTTATATCACTGCCCCATTCCTGGATTGGGAAGCCCCTTGAACAATCCTAATACGAAATAAAATAAATAAAACACTATGCTAAACTGTCTATTCACCAAATCTTTTTTGTGAGTTTCTCTTCTCAGACTCATGGCATATAGATAGAATGACTTGTCCCTTGTTTTCACTGGCTGTCCTGTCACTGGGAAATAGGAAAATTCATTCTAGGTAGGTGGTTGGGTGAATCCACTAGTTGCTCTATCCTTAATGATCCTTTGGAAGTAGTCTCTACAGGAACTCTGGATTCCTCAGCAGGTTGAGTCTCTGCTGAAAATTTCTTCTCTTGAGTTACTCAGTTGCCATTCTCTCACCAATGTACTCCCAAAGACAATCACGACTGTCAACCCCCAAGGTTCAATCTTGGTGAAAGGGAAGAATGGATGACTAAGGTTTGCTAGAATAGACTGGTACCTGGTAAGATCGAAACTGTGTAGAGAGCACAACAGCCACTGAGCACAACATTCAGAGCACAACAGCCACAGCTCTAGTCAAGACCACTGGAAACTAATGGACAGTCATAAATGCGCCATGGTGAACGATTTCTGCTAGTCAGAGATGCCTCACCGTAGGTGAGGCAATAGTGAAGCATGTGACCCATAGGGTTAGTTACATTTCAAGCCAAAAAGTTCTACATGAACATTGATGACATCTCACAACACTTAGTCTTGCAGTGTTGTAAAATGAGCCACCTCGAGTAGCTCATAACTCTAAACCAGGACCAGGGACCGACTACCTGTTGGAGTATTGAAGTCCCTGTGAGTGGCTTCCATCAAAAACCAAGGACATCACTGACATCTCTTCCTGGCAATCATCAGGATTATGAGAGAAAGGATTTGGCCTGACACATAGGGCCCTGTGAGTGAGACCAAGCAGATCACGCCCCCAATGTTCAAGGGGACAGCATGAGATCCGGATTAATTCCTGAAACGTTTCAAGCAAGTCACTGCCTAGAATGGAATAGTTTTACCTAATGGTTCTGACAAAGTTTTATGTGGTGTTTCTCATAAACATAATGCAAATATATTTTAAATTGATCAGGTTGAAATATGAATGAGGGAATAAAATTGTCGGTAGTACATAAAATTCACAAATAATGTATGGTGTACCCAGTGTTTTATTAGGTTGTGATAGGAGTATTTTCAGTCATGCAGATTGGAAACAGTTTATAAGTAAACAGTTTTACTGAATATTTCAAACGTTGTTTCATTACAAAATACAGTTTTGAAGCACAGAAATGCTGGCTGTAAGTGTAATAGGGATACACCAAAGATATCACTCATGTGGTGAAATCTTGTAATTCACACCATAACTGTTACACATTTTGTACATTGAAGAAAGTTTCTAAGAAAATACAATGAAGGTGTCGGCAAGGGATAACAGTCAAAGGTGAGAGTAATGGCATCTAACCCATGTCAGCTTGACTATGTAGAACCCAAGCAGTGTCGACCCCATATTCATTCCTAATGGAACTGGGATCTGTCTATGAAACAACCAAATGGTAGGCTAGGGATGAGACCAGATTGGAGAGTTTGGTATGCATGTTCCTCTTGCCTGGCAGTGGCATTAGATGGCAACACAACCATAGATAACTGGTCAAATGAATACTCATGGAAGGTAGTGTATTGGGAAATCCTTTAGTTCCTTGAGCACATGTTCTTTGGGCGAAGATAAGCATGAGTAAACGTTAAGCCTGTAGACACGTCATTTAACCAGTAGCTATTTCACGGTCATGAACACACATTTCAGCCCTTCTTAATCTACACACCCAGTTGAACCTTTGACGAATTAGAATTCAGTTGATCTTAGCATTGAAATCTGGACTTTCAGCATTTAAGGTCAAGTTTTAGCCATGGCTAGTCTTTCTTTCACTGACTAGCCAGTGGTCTTTCTGTCTTGCTCTATCCTAAGATATTGTTTGATAACCGAGATGGACCCTTCAGTTTATTCTACCTATGAAGTCATTGAGTTCCTGCATGATAAGTCACTAAAGCTGGAATGTCCAAGTCTGGCCTGACCTACACAGTACCCAAGCTCGTGGATTGGCCGTGCAATCTCCAGAGGCTGCACTACCACCTTTAATGGTAAAGAAGCTATGCACTGATGGAAGAATCGTCCCTGCAACCAGGAACTCAACAATGACAATGCCAGATACGAATCTAGATTAGCCTAGCCTTCAAGCCATCCAGCAGCCTTCATTACTGCCACTTCTGATACTGCTGAAGGAGAAGACGAAGCATGAGAAACGATGGGATCTGGTGACCTGTCTCGTCAGAGGATGTGCAGGCACTTTCAAAGTGATCATTACTTCCTGAAGTCAAAGAAGAGCTTCCAACGAGGATTACCCTAACCCAAAGAAAATAAAAGCAGAGCAGGTTCCGAGACAAAACCAGACTGAGATAAAAGCGTCTAGATGAGCCAGCAGTTCGTGGGCATTCCAGCTGTCAATGAGGAGCCTCCTCATCAAGAACTATAGCATTAATCCCTGGCTATCCAAGCAGAATATACGCATCTGCCATGAGCAAAGGGCCTCCCAGAAAAGATGTCTGAATCCATTCCAGAGAACCACAAGGGTGGACCTCACAGACAAACCATTGAAAGTAATAACACACTGCCCAATATCTGAGTAGATTCCAGTACTGAAAAGGCACTGTCTGGAAATGAATGTTGAAGGGATAGAAGTGCGGGTCCTGTGTAACAGGAAGGAAGATTGACTGAGACGGAGGATGACCTCTCCAACACAGGCTTTCTAACAGCAAGACGATCTGAAAGCGTCGACGATGGCTGACAGCAAGACAAGTGCAGCCCTGTAGACTCTGCTGGTGGGATTGAGGAGAGTGGGAATTATGCTTTAGGCGTTCTCTTGGTGTAAGTGTATATTTTGTAATACAGATTTAAGGTAAGATAGCTTTACGTGAAACTTCTAAATCAAACAAATATTAACTTCCTACTAAACGAAATGTTACATTCTAAAATTTAAATACACTACGGCAAGACAAATAGATAGGGAGAATAAATAAATTAACTCATTTTATCTCAAAGTACTTCATTATAGCTTGGCATGTCTTGAGTGGATTGCATAAGCTTAGTAAGTAAAGTAATTACAAATAAAAATACATTATAACAAGAAATATTGACAAGGAACTGAAAAGTGACCTTTTTCGCATGTTTACTGCTTATCCGAAACATTTTTGCTAAAGATATTTTGAAAGATTTGTTAAAAGTAATACATTTTTAATTATACAATGATGGGGTAAATATACAGAAAGTAACACTAACTATGGAAATTAGAAATTGATTTTAAAGCCTTTTTGTATATATGATAAGTATTTTAATAATTATAAATATATATATAATGTATACATACAAATACACACGTACTCCCCAGTGGAACAGCAGTATGTCTGTAGACTTGCAACGCTAGAAACCGGGCTTCGATACCCGTGGTGGGCAGAGCACAGATAGCCCATTGTGCTAAACTACAAACAAACACACGCATACAATATTTCAAAACATTTTTCAAATATCAATAGTTATATAGATGAGCATGAGAGGGCGCTAAAAAAACAGAAAGACCTAGGATTTAGTGAGATACGTTAGGTTTAGGGCTGGAGATTCATGTAAAATATTCATAGGCAAATTTTGCGAAATAACTATTTGATGAGCAAAGGGTAATATATATTAAATCAAATATATATATTATTTAAAATTTATCTAAATCCATTTAGTAACTAACCTCTCAGAACCGAGAAAGAATATGTCAAAAAACATTAAGCGTTTGAAATCTGCAAAGAAAATGGTTGAGAAAGTGGTTCACGGAACGACACTTAAAACTTACATCCAAGCTGGAATGGCTGTGGCAGGACCACCACTGGGGCCTCAGCTTGGTCAGGTAAATTAATATAATACATTAGGTATCAAAATAATTATGAAGTGAATACAAAACATTAAAAGCATAGAAATTAAAAAACAACATGCACTTAAACAGTGTTTAGTTTATGATTACTTAGCATTTCAATATGACTCCTGACGTACGTAGACGAAGTTTTTAAAGTTGTTATTGGAAGTTAGTTTTTATTATTATAATTTATATGCATTTTATAACTAATTATCTTTAAATTAAATACTTCTGGGACATATTTCCATCCTGGTTATTAATTTCTAGTAAAAATACAAGTTTTAGCATTGTAATTTTAATATATATATACATATAAATTTTAATATAAGTATTTTATCTGTTTTAGAGAGGAATCAATATAGCCCATTTCTGCAAAGACTTCAATGAGAGAACAAAAGATATTAAAGAAGGAATACCTTTACCATGTAGGATAACTGTGAACGTATGTTTATTAGCTGCAAAAACACTTTTTTTTTATCCCATACACTACACCATAGATAAAGGAGAAAAAATTAACATATATTTTAGACTAAATGCTTATCCTTATTATAACCCCATCCATTATCATGTTTATATCTGTGATATTCCTGCATAACTTAGTGTAGGAAACTAGGACCAATGCATATTTACATATTCTATCACCATATTTCAAAATTACTATGTGGCAAATTGTACAGCATGATGTCCTTTAAAATGTTTATTAATTTTCAAAACTGTTAATGACACAGGTTTATTTAGTATTGATTTTTCTTTTTAATGGTACATTTAATAACTAAGAAATAAAAAAAAACTTTATTAAAGGCTCAATAGTTCTTTCCAATAGTAGTAAAAATGTTCTAGTAAACTTAAAATTACTTGTAACATAGACAGTTTTCTTACTTCTGATGATTAATTATAAATGATTGAACTACTACAGATAATATATGTATAAAAGTTATAATATTGACCAAATATACATTATATGAAATTTAGTCTTTTTACTGTTTCATGTCCAATGCCATATTGTTTTTCTGTTGAAGCTTGGGTATCATCCTTTTTAAAGCTATTGCTCCAAACAACAATAAAATTCAATATTTTAATGTTCTGATACAAATAGATTGAATACTAAACTTGTCAGCTGGAATAATATATGAGTTAGACAAAAGAAAATTTAATTTGATAATTGTAAGATATAAATCAAAAATATTATTAGTAAATATAATTAAATTTATATTCTTAGCAGACTCTGAAAATATTTTACTTTTTTTGCTGGTGAGATAAGACTGTTTACCAAAAGTTTGATACTATTTGGAAACAAACTGTTTTTTTTTTGTTTTTTTTAAAGAAAGTTTTTAGGTAGTATGTTGTCATAGCTTTCTATGGACTGCTTTAGCCTTTTGTCTGGTTTGGAGATGGCATTCCAGGTTCATGCTCCCTCTCTCACCAGATCTGATGAAGGACTTAGCACAGAGCCTCCAACATCATCTCCAAGGCAGACGAAAGGTCAGATCAGTCCATAGAAAACTATTAACTGTCTTTTTTTATTGTAAAAAGCCAGTATTAATTAATTGATTAATTCTTATTACGTAGCCTGACCGTAGTTACAATTTGGTCATTCATAATCCACCAGTTAGTTACTTCCTGAAACAGGCAGCAGGCTGTGAGAGGGGAGCAATGAAACCATGTAAGTATTGTATTTAACACATGAAAATTAAAAGTTTAACTTGAATAATGCAGAGCAAGTTTGAGGTTTAAACTTGATTCCTTGTGTGGTTATCACCCACTCATTAATGGATCATCCGTTTCTTTTACATTCACAAGCTTTATGTCAGTCAGTCACTCCTTACTGTGCATTGATTGATGTCTGTCTTACCAATTTTATCATTTGTTACATTTTCTAACAGCTTTAGAGTTTGCTGGGAAAATTACAGTCAAGCATGTCTATGAAATAGCAAAAATAAAGAGCCAGGATCCTACCTATGATTGTGTTCCTCTTCAAGAGGTTTGTCAAGATATTATTGACTCTGCAAAATCATGTGGAATTGAAGTAGTTCATCACTTAAATGAGGAAGATTATGAAAAGTTTCTTGAAGAACGGAAGGAAATAGTCAAGCAGCAGTTAGCAGAGTTAGAGGAGAAACGACAAGCTAAAATGTTGAGGACGGTATAGTAGAGTAGTTTAAAATTTATATTAGCAACATCAAATCACTAAGAAATAGGTGTTTAGTTTTTCAAAATGTGTACAGATACATTGTTTATTGTTTTTCATAGTAATATTGAATTGACATAAAAATTTTAGCTGTCAATCCATTTTGTCTTCTTAATAAAGGTGGTCATAATAGAAAATTATTCATGAAACCTTGTGTATACAAAATATACATGCATTATCACAAAAAAAAGAAAAATGTTGTTTACATAGCAGTTGCAATCATAGCTACACTGTTAGAAATTATGAGCAACTATTACTTTTCTTTTTAACTTTGTGGCATAGGAAACAACTGAGCTAACAAGTTTGTTTCCAAACTACTTTCAACATCTGCAGATAACTTTATTTCTGTTTTTGGTAAAGCACTGAAGTACAATAGCATAGCCACCCACCAGCGATTCTCTTACATATTCAGCAAAGTGTACATCACAATACAGACTATGCCTAAAAATCTGGAGTAGGTAATTTTCGATACGATGAGTACAAATATAACTAAGGTAGCCGGTGGTAATCGCTTAATTTTTTTTTTTTTTTGTAAGATAAATCATAAATATTCAAAATGTCTGTATTGGTGATAAAATGCAAAACATTTAGAATTTTTCCAACAATGCAACTATTGGTTTTTACGGAGTACAAAACATATTTTTAGCATTCAAATGTAAGGTCATCAATTGAGCACATTTGTGATAAATTTTTATCTTTATTGAGTAAGCAAGTCTACTCATAACTGAACAGGTAAATAAAATACTGCAAAAAATAATAAAGGAATAAAAACTTTATTCAATGCACTACAGATATTTGATATTTTTCAAGTGAAACCCTAAAGTGGGAGATGACGACGCTCTTTTGTGGCATTCTTCTTTCGTTTCCTTTCCAGGTATTTTTCCAGCTTGTTCTCTTTCTTTAGTTTCTGGAAACGTTCTGCTAACTCTAACCTCTTCTTTTCAGCTGGAATAAAAAGTTCCTAGCATCAATATTCTGATCTCAAAGGTTCGTTTATAAAAACTGTAGCACTCTTTCTCAACTCTTAATAGCTGATTTTCTTAATCTTATCATGATATGATAATTTCAAGAATATGTAGATATCTCATTTTGTGCTCTGAGGAGAATCTAAAGTGTTGGTTGGCTGTCATTACAGTTTGGTTCTTTTTTTATGCATCTAAAACTTTAAAAGTTTAAATCTCACAAAAGTAGCAAAACAAATACTGAACTTTAACAGTAATTCATCAACAAACCAACACTCCAAGATCTTTCTCTGAGTATAGAATGATAAAATCAGGGACAAACAATCAGATTTGCTGGATCTAGTGGCATATTTTGTATGTATGATAACTATTTACTCACAAACTTCAACTAATATTCTAGAATACTACAGTCAACATTTTCTCGTATGTGTGCCATCACAAACAATTTAGTAAATATATTTAGTTACTGTTAGGATAGTTAGAAATAACATGCTGTAACAAATTACATTTTTATCTCACATTCAAAGGTGATTTCTCTTTCATATTTGGTCTTCACAAAACAGTCTGTATTTTCATACACAATACTTTAGTACAGTGTTTCTCAACCTGGAGTCTGCGAGTCATGTCCAAAATTTCATAATATTTAAAAAAAATATGATTTATAGAATTAAAAATATTTTTCATAAAAAAAATTTAATTTTGGAATACAGTTGTTTGTGTACACAATCTTTTTTTAAAAACAAAAAACATCAATAGGTTTGGTGGTCTGAGAAAAAATGGTAAATCAAAAGGTGTTCTCCAGTTACTAAAGTTTGAGGACCATTGTTTTAAAATAATGTTTATCTCTACACAGAAATCATTTTGCTTTCATAAACTCTCACTAGTTACTTTAATTATGTTGCCCTTATGTTAAATAATCTAACACACACATTAGATAAAAACTGCTACACACAAAGTTAAATGAAAAATGTGTCTCACATTTATTCTTAAAGTGTGGCTTCTTCCCTTCTTTGAGCTGGCTGATAATTTCTTGCTTCTGTTGTCTAGCCTTCTGCTTAGCCACTTCTTTTAGTCGTTCAGTCTTCTCTTGATTTTCCTGGAATACATAATTTATAAATAATGTTTCTTATTGAAATATAGTATTCTACTGCTATTTATAAAATAAACATTAATCAAACTATTTTTCCACTGGTCTTATTTAAGTTATTGTGAACAATTTGTGAAAAGAAACGGTTCTCATACACCAGCATGATAACGCACAGATGATTAAAGAATTAACAAAAATACAAAAAACTCCCTACTAGTTTCAACAGACCAATTTCGTCATTCTCAAACATCTTGTACATTCAGGTTCAAAACGTCTGCAGAAGAGTCGAGGTTCAGTAATGGCAGTAGCGGGTAAAAACTAATTTGGAAAATACTTCTAAATAGAATTGGGTTCAAATTACATTTTATTATTAAGCATATTTTCTCTATTTTTTAACATTTCTATGGATTCTCTTGTATTGCGTTCATGAAAGAACTTGGGATAAACAATGATTTTTGATTGATCAAAATAAATTTTGCAGTTGGTTCATGCAATGCTAAAGCTGATTTTTCATGTTCCTTTACTCTAATTGAAAAGATCAATTTGTTTGACCAGTATAAGCACAGGTACCGGAACAAATAATTGAATAAATACACTTCTGTGGTGGGTTTCTATCTTATCTCTCCATTTGTTAAATTTATTTAAAAGTTTGTTCACTGCCTTACAAATTAGGTTAACTTTTATTCCATTTTAACACAGCACCTATTTTGTTTGATATTGAGAAGTAGTAAAGTATTGTTAGATAATGATATCCTACTATCCCTCGATATAAAACAAAATTAAAACCCACCACAGACAGGGTATTTATTCAATTACTTATATTGCTTAAACAAACTGATCTCTTTCAATTAGAGTAAAGGAACATGAAGGTTACTATTATCAGAAGAAAGCTAAAAATTGGCTTTAGCATTACATGCTCACACAACCAACCACAAAATTAATTTTGGTCAATCAAAAATCACTACAGAACCCAAACTGTTTCAACAAAACAACATTAAAATAATAAAAATAGAGAAAACATGCTTAATAATAAAATGGAATTTGAACTTAATTCTGCTTCAAAGTCATTTTTGGGACTTCTCTAGGTCCTTTTGGAACCTAAACATACAAGACACTAAGAACAGTTTTACTCTGTCCCTTGACAGTGCCAAGCTTAGTCTGTTGAAACTAGTCTGGAGTTTTTGCATGTTTTGTTACATTTTATCTGTTTTTCATGATAAATAACTAACATCTAAATTTTTAAGTATAAAATTCTACTACACTTCAGTTGAAGCAAGCACATTTTTTCTTCTTATAGTTTATTTTTATATTAAATAAGAAATTTTAGAAAATTGAAGGAAAGGTAACACTAAAAAAACAAGTGGAAGCACACTTTTTTTTTTTAAGTTCAAACATAATTTTATATTTTGGCACAACCTTCTTTAATTGGCAGAATGTTTATTGTACAAATATTAAAACACACACCATTCTCTTCAACAGAAATTTTATTTGTTTTCTTTTTTCTGGATCTTCTTCTTCATTTAACATTTCTTGTAATTCCTGAAAAGCAAAGAAATATTTCAAATGAAAGACCTCTAATTGAATAAACAAGTTTAAAAATCTAGACTTCAAATAAAAAAACATAACAATAAAAAAATTACTGAACACTTGTTGATACAGTTGTTGAGAAACTCACTGTGATAGAGTTGTTAAGAAACTCACTTTGATACAGTTGTTGAAAAACTCACTTTGATACAGTTGTTGAATGTTGTGACAGGAAAAGTTTTCAATTTTTGGAGTTGAGTGAGTTTCTCAACAACTGTATCAAAGTGAGTTTCTCAACAACTGTATCAAAGTGAGTTTCTTAACAACTGTATCAAAGTGAGTTTCTCCACAACTGTATCAAAGTGAGTTTCTCCACAACTGTATCAAAGTGAGTTTCTCCACAACTGTATCAAATGGAGTTTCTTATGCCATGCAAATAAAATCAATCACATTATTCAAAAAACTTTGTTATTCTTAAAGTTATAAATTTAAATTGATAAGAAAAACAAATTGTTTTTTTAAAACTCTTAATGTGGGTAAATTATAACATGTAGAATTATGCACGGACTTTTCTCTACATTAAAATACTTTTATTTACAAGCTTTTGGCCCTTTTACCAGACTTTTCATCAGGCAATAATGTATATTTTTGCCCGATGAAGGCTTCAATAAGTGGGCCAAAAGCTCACGAATAAAAGTATTTTAACATACAGAAAAGTTCATGTATAATTCTACATTGGAGAAACTAATAATAGACATAAATTATCAATTTTAAAAAGCATGTATATTTTTGACATTAAACATACATAAAAATCCTGGGTTAAAGGTTTTATTTACTACAGAGCAATAAGCTAAACAACTGGATTTGTCTAAGCATATAAATGTTTGTGTATTACAAAGTAAATTATTTTACCTTCCAATAAATTAGTTCCACCTGAACACTGCACTGTATTTTTAAGTAACAGTTTTAATAGCATATGTACATTATAGTTAAAATAGATTGCTTCCTCAATCTAGAAATCATGCACTTGAACCTAACTACATGCTGGACTAATAGTGTTTAAACACACATCTAGAACCTAACTACATGCTGGACTAATAGTGTTTAAACACACATCTAGAACCTAACTACATGCTGGACTAATAGTGTTTAAACACACATCTAGAACCTAACTACATGCTGGACTAATAGTGTTTAAACACACATCTGGAACCTAACTACATGCTGGACTAATAGTGTTTAAACACACATCTAGAACCTAACTACATGCTGGACTAATAGTGTTTAAATACACATCTAGATCGAAAACCTAAGGTCCAAGAAAATGTTTTTTAAAAAAAGAAGAGATACACTGGGTCTTGATATCATTTTTGCTGAACAAATATTTCCAATTTCAACCAGTTTTGCGTTACATGTTAAAACTGATAGCACCATTCTTTGATGATTCAAGTTTTGCTGGTATTATACGAAACTTCAAAAATCCCTTATGCTGTTGTAAAGCAAAACAATGCACTGTTGATGACGAATGTGTATGTCACTGAAAGAAATAAAAAATAGTATGATACTTTGAATACTGTCATGTTAATCTAAATTAATGATGATAAAGATGGACAACTACCATCATATACCACACATTAAATCAATCAGTCTGCTATAATAAGTCCGACCACAGCAGAGATAAAGTGGGTTATCACGAACAACAAAGTATAGCTTAAAACCATTACGTGATGGAGCTGGGTTATTAGTGGTATTTGCTAATCAATTAACCAATGGCTCCACTATCCAATTACTGTAGTGTTACTCAAACCATGATACCTACAAGCAGAAAACAAACAAAAAGATGGTGTTGGGTGCAGCCAACCAGTTTCCTTCCCTGTGTTCAGCAGTTCAAAATTATCCACAATGGCAGATAGTCTAAGTACTTTTCGATAACAAAGACAAAGTGAGCAAGTTTAGTGGTAATATGTCAATTACTTGAATAGTTGGAAACCATAATTAAAATTTTGTTTAGTTGATGAATTTTGTCACAATCGATTTAATTACTGCTCATGAGTAATCGATAAACCACCCACTTCTGTTAATTGGATCAGTTGAAAATATTTATACATCTTAGTTCCAAGGAAATAACTTAAAATATAATATTATCTAATCCATTTTGTATCCAGAGCCACACTTGTTTTCCAATGCTAATACTAATACACATATACTTTATAAAACTAATATATGAGCATAGCTACAAAATTATTGTGGGTAATTAACTTCAGACACTTATACTTAAAATAATGTATACTTTAGACAATTATATACTCAAATAAGTCTCTAATTCTTAAAAATTATATATTTGGGTTATATGGATTCAACAATTATGATAAGTATTAACTTTTACTTTGAAAATTGTTTCACACATGGAGAGGGGGGGCTAAAGTGTAGTAAATAATGAGACACAGATTGAAAAATGTTTACAAAGTAAAATAAATAAATACAATTTCTGGATAGTGCAGTATATATATATATTTTATAAACATGACTTAAGTGCAAATAAAACTTAGAGGCATTATATTACATAAAGAAAAACAAAAGTTTTAATTTCAAAATAACTGCATAATAGAGCTGTCAGAAACTTACCTCCTTTTCTTTGGTTTTAATGTCAGATAGAAAACTATACGTAGTTTTGAATATATCTTCGTGGTAGGTACCTGAAAGGTCATCAAACCTGGGGTCTCGATATACCTTAAGTAAACAATATTAACACTTGATAAATTTCTCAGAATTCTTTCTCGAGTGGATTATTAGGCGTACATTTCACTTAATATTTTCCATTTTTTATACATTAAACTCACCACTTAATCATAAAACGTCAACGAAATTGGTAATCATTCAAATAATACATCAATGTTTTGGCAGTGTTTAAATTATTTTTTACTAGTAATGAAATTTTTTTAAATATTAGTTTTCTTCAGTAATTATGAAAATAAATATTAAGTATGACATCAAGGTAAGTACACTGGAATTTTTCAAAGTTGTTATACCCAGATGATAGGATGAATAAAATTAATCAGTTATTGAGTTGACATCCTGATTCACTGTGACATATTTTCAAAGACCAGATAGATTAATTCCAAACCTTCTCATCTTTGGTATGTGAATATGTAAAAATTATAACTGAACTTAGATGACCTGTATTTTGATTTTCCAAACATTTTTTTTGTTTTAAAACGGAAGACTTAAAAATTCTGCTAATATAAAACCATATTCCAAATTACAGATAAAAATCGTTGTCCATATAAATGTGAGTGGCAGTGATGATATATCAAGAACATTTTCTTAAACAATAAGTATATTATAGCACCATTTACGAAGAACCTACAAGACTTACTTTCTTCTTCACTTGGAAAACTTCACGAAATAAAGGTACAGGAGCTTTAGAGGAAACTTCACGGGGCCTTAGAAAAAGAAATCATAATTTGGAGAAGTAACTAACTGAAATTACATAAATTAAGTCTCAACTAACTGCATTTAATACTTCAAAACACAAAATTTTATTCTCATGGTGGAGTCAAAAGTATTCTTACAGGAATTATTAAACATGCAGTTGTATCAACCACCAACTTAAAAAAAAATTTTTATGTGTGTGGAAAATAACACATTCTGTTATTTGAATCATAGAAAACATCCACTGGTAAAAACATTATAAGAATTTTCTAGATGCAGAATGTGTAAAACCATCAAGAAATATCAGTTGTTATGAGGATATTTTAGTTTTTCTATTCTGCATGTAACATAATAATCAACTGGTGTCAAAAGTGTAAACTACAGTAAGTGAAAAGGCTAATCTAATTAAATAGTGGGATTTGACCATCATTCTTATAGTGCACTCAGTGTGGAGCATGATTTTTTTTTTCTTTCAACAATCATAGATCCACAGTCTGGCACACTAACCACATGGCAATGCCCAGCCCTGTAAAAAAATGAGCATGCTTGATCTACACTGATGTAAATCTACTGTATGTAATATGTTATACACGTTCTAATATAAATCTTACAATTAATTTGCAGCTATACACACAGACACATATATCAATAGTTCTAGCACTATACATTACATTTATGGTAAATAGGCAATAAAATCAGCACTAGATAACAATAATAAAATTAATACAACTCAAAGCCAAAATGTTCACAATAAGACATAAAAAATCCTGGAAAAATTTGTCTATTACCTGTCCTTGTCATTAAGTCATTTTTTATTATGAGTTAATGGTAATGACAAGGACTGGTAATGGAAAAATCTTTTTCAAGTCTCGTGAAAGTTTTGGCATTGAGTTGTATTGTCACTAGAGATAGTTAGCTACCTTTAATATTTAAGTTAAAATATATTTGAGATCTTTTATTATAAATAAGTCATTTTTAGAAAAGGGGTGGAGGTTGGAAGTAAAATGTAGTAGAATTATCAGGGTGGTATTTATTCTACTTTAAGGGTTTTTTTTAGAACTTTTAAGGGTGGAAGATGGTAGGCATTGCTTAGTAGAAATCTTTTGGGTGGCTTGATTTTATCTTATTTCTACTTTTGATTTTATTACATCTTTTTAAGGGTGACTGCCTTCCCACAACTGGTTGCAGACAGTGGAAGGCAGTAAGAGTTGAGACATTG